TTATAAACCTAATGTCTTCAGCAACCATTTTTACCAGTACTCATATTGCAATTTTTGCTGTTATCATTGCATGTTTTTACCAGAGTTCATTTCAACTGAGAGAAATGCTACATTTATGTTCACAAAGATAACGTAGAGAATCAGACAGATGCAGAAGGTTGTACACATATTTTTCTAGATTATGTAAAAGCACCTGATAAGTATTTTTTCAATTCTCCCCAAGCAAGACGGGAGTACCACTGGTACGCAGGTGGGTAACAGAGAGTGGGGACTAAGGAAAGGATAAAAAGAAGAACGGGGAGCAAGGCAGCAGAAGATGAAGATTGCAGTTATCAGGGAAGCAAGTAAGAGGAAGGGAGTTACACTGTCGGGAAGATCAAGACAAGAAGCTGTTGGAGTAGAAGAAGCGGTTTACATTTAACTGTTTCAACAGTAAAAGGCTGGGACCTAGATGCCAATCTAGTAGCAAAATTAAATTCAGCACAAATATTTTTGAACTACATCTATTCGGAAAAAGGTGTTAGAAATATCCAAAAATATATCCTGGGAACAAACCGCCTGTATGCGGGTAGAAAATGATTTTGATATTTAACAATAGAAAGAGTGAATATGTCTTCTCACCGGAGTTATTCAATCTCTACAGCGAGGCTATCCTGCTGGAGTTGGTCACGCGAACAGGATTTATACTCGTTAGGTGTCATCTTAATAATATGAAATATGCAGGTGGAAATGAGTTGATGGCTGAAGTAGAAGGGTAGCTACAGGACACCTCGACAAGGCAGTAAAGGCAAACGAGAAGCAATGACTAGCGATCAACTGTATGGAAAAAGAATGTTTGTTTGTCAACAAGAGTAAAATCCCAAGATGCTAATTAGGAATTGAATATGTCAACATGAAATAAGTACAGAAAAATTTAAATGTTTAGGAAGTGTTTTAATAAAGGATGGAAAATGTGAACGCGTAGTAGTTTAGCAAAATATGCCTTCCACAAGCTAAATAACGTATTAAGAAACAAGAAGATTTCGTTAGAAATAAGGAAATGCTTGCTGAACTGTCATCTAATATCAATCCTCCATTATGGTAGAGAAAGCCGGGTAATCTCGCCAAAGAAGATAAGAGGAGGCAATTTATATATATTTCTAAACGCGAATGTCGTCCTGCGTAAGACGTTAAACTACATCCGCGTCCTGGTTTAGACGTTAAACTACATTCGCGTCCTGGGTAAGACGTTAAACTACGTCCAGCAGCAAGGCCTCTGGTCAGGAGGTTTTTGAGGACCTCTTATTTGCTGGTGTTCCCAGGTCCAACCTGACTCGGGGTGGTAGCACCTGTTAGGGTCTCAGCTATGGGCAAATAGTTAATTATTAACAGCAATACTTTTTTTGAAAAAAATTATTACCAGAAATACAATTTTTAAAGAAATATATTACCAGAAACAGATTTTTGACAAAACAAAATATTAGCAGTAATAAACATTTTTGTCAGCATTAAATAACCCATTGAGGTTGATATGCCGTAAAACAAAATAAACCAAACCAATCTAAACCAAAGAATACATATTCTATTCATACGAATCTATCCTAAAAATGTTATCGGCATTAAATAACCCATTGAGGTTGATATGCCGTAAAACGAAATCAACGAAACTAATCTAAACCAAAGAATACATATTCTATTCATACGAATCTACCCTAAAAATGTTGTCTGCATTAAATTACCCATTGAGGTTGATATGCCATAAAACAAAATAAACCAAACCAATCTAAACCAAAGAATACATATTCTATTCATACGAATCTACCCTAAAAATGTTCTCGGCATTAAATACCCGATTGAGGTTGATATACCATAAAACAAAATAAACCAAACCAATCTAAACCAAAGAATACATATTCTATTCATACGAATCTACCCTAAAAATGTTGTCGGCATTAAATAACCTATTGAGGTTGATATGCCGTAAAACAAAATAAACCAAACCAATCTAAACCAAAGAATACATATTCTATTCATACGAATCTATCCTAAAAATGTTATCGGCATTAAATAACCCATTGAGGTTGATATGCCGTAAAACGAAATCAACGAAACTAATCTAAACCAAAGAATACATATTCTATTCATACGAATCTACCCTAAAAATGTTGTCGGCATTAAATTACCTATTGAGGTTGATATGCCGTAAAACAAAATAAACCAAACCAATTTAAACCAAAGAATACATATTCTATTCATACGAATCTACCCTAAAAATGTTGTCTGCATTAAATTACCCATTGAGGTTGATATGCCATAAAACAAAATAAACCAAACCAATCTAAACCAAAGAATACATATTCTATTCATACGAATCTACCCTAAAAATGTTCTCGGCATTAAATACCCCATTGAGGTTGATATACCATAAAACAAAATAAACCAAACCAATCTAAACCAAAGAATACATATTCTATTCATACGAATCTATCCTAAAAATGTTGTCGGCATTAAATACTTCATTGAGGTTGATATGCCATAAAACAAAATAAACCAAACCAATCTAAACCAAATACATATTCTATTCATACGAATCTACCCTAAAAATATTGTCGGCATTAAATAACCTATTGAGGTTGATATGCCGTAAAACAAAATAAACCAAACCAATCTAAACCAAAGAATACATATTCTATTCATACGAATCTATCCTAAAAATGTTATCGGCATTAAATAACCCATTGAGGTTGATATGCCGTAAAACGAAATCAACGAAACTAATCTAAACCAAAGAATACATATTCTATTCATACGAATCTACCCTAAAAATGTTGTCGGCATTAAATTACCTATTGAGGTTGATATGCCGTAAAACAAAATAAACCAAACCAATTTAAACCAAAGAATACATATTCTATTCATACGAATCTACCCTAAAAATGTTGTCGGCATTAAATAACACATTGAGGTTGATATGCCATAAAACAAAATAAACCAAACCAATCTAAACCAAAGAATACATATTCTATTCATACGAATCTACCCTAAAAATGTTGTCTGCATTAAATAACCCATTGAGGTTGATATGCCATAAAACAAAATAAACCAAACCAATCTAAACCAAAGAATACATATTCTATTCATACGAATCTACGCTAAAAATGTTGTCTGCATTAAATAACCCATTGAGGTTGATATGCCATAAAACAAAATAAACCAAACCAATCTAAACCAAAGAATACATATTCTATTCATACGAATCTACCCTAAAAATGTTCTCGGCATTAAATACCCCATTGAGGTTGATATACCATAAAACAAAATAAACCAAACCAATCTAAACCAAAGAATACATATTCTATTCATACGAATCTATCCTAAAAATGTTGTCGGCATTAAATACCCCATTGAGGTTGATATGCCATAAAACAAAATAAACCAAACCAATCTAAACCAAAGATTACATATTCTATTCATACGAATCTACCCTAAAAATGTTGTCTGCATTAAATAACCCATTGAGGTTGATATGCCATAAAACAAAATAAACCAAACCAATCTAAACCAAAGTATACATATTCTATTCATACGAATCTATCCTAAAAATGTTGTCGGCATTAAATACCCCATTGAGGTTGATATGCTGTTAAAAAAAAAACAAAAAAAACAAACCAAACCAAATCAAACCTAACAAGAATGATGAGAATACAATTTATTTAGCGATAAATAAACATATCGTTACGATAACAAAAAGCAAAAGGAAATATTATACTCAAATCCGAAGGATAGATTTGGAATGTCTTTGACATACAACGAGAAAGTAGGGTTTGGAAAAATTTGATTCTCACTGGGAACATCGAAGTCAAAAGCATTGAGCATGCAGTTAAGAGAAGGCGTTCGGTTCCGGAGATTCCAGCCTTGTTACAGCACCTTCCTCATTGCATTAAGAGAGGTAGTGGTTGATGTAATATCGACGTCAGGGCGACAGTGGTCACTGGGATTGGATAATTATTTAATTATTTTTCTTCGACTACATTTATATATTTGTGTAAAGCAATCCACATAAAAAAAAATCACAGACTCCTCTTGCCGTGATCTATCTCCACGAGAGCCAGATCAGACGAAAACTGGTGAAACAGGTGCAGCATCCGGACCGGAAACTGCTCAATCCTCATTAGCCAAACGCGGCCGAGTTCAAAAATATTTGCGCCCCCTTGTGGAAGAATAGATTTCTAACTTCCAATCCTGTTTCTCGCAGACGAAACATTGGTTGCCTATCGTTATTCTAACATTCTGGTCAGACGAACTAAATTCCTTGATTCCACCTTTCCAAATATTCACGTATAGGAAGCGGCATGTTCCTTACACTTCATATTCTCAACTACTCTCAAGGAGGTATAGCTACACAGGATGAGAGGTTATAATCGCCCACGTCCTGAATGGATACTCCATATAGAAGAAGAATAGTACAGAATCAAAATAAATTTACTTCTTTAATATGATCACATATGGATACAATTATCACTTGGAATGTATTTTCTTTTGAATTTTATGATACAAATCAAAAATACAATAAAGAAAAGACAAACTAAAAAATTAGTGAAAATAATTTAACTGAAAATTTAGGTAAGTTGATGGTATTAACATTTCTATATCCATGGATAATTGCCAGGAAATATTTAAGTGAGGTATGTTTTTGACGTGATATGTTTAGTCATGTAGTCAAGTCTAAGGAAAAACAATTAATAGGAAAAGAGAAAAAAAATGTCCACTTCTTCGATGGAAGTAGAAAGAGTTATCTGCCCATTTACTTTCCAAATTCACCGTCTGATAACGTCTCTTAAATTTAGCCTAAATCAATTACGAAGGTCACCTTGCCGTTCTCAATCGGCCGTCTCTATATATCCATTTCGGTTGAATTCTTAAAACGTCCAAGAATGTAAATGCGTGTGTGCAAAGAAGTAAAGGGCCGAAAGAAAGATGCAAAAAATGAAAGAAAAAAGAACAAAGAACAAAGAAAAACACTACGAAAAAATAATGAAGAAAAAATAATGAAGAAAAAAGAAGGAAGAAAAAGAAGGAAGAAAAAAAGAAGGAAGAAAATGAAGCAAGAAAAAACTAAAAAGGAAAGAAGAAAAAAGAAAGGGGTAAAAAGTGGGAAGAAAAAGAAAGAAGAAAAAAGAAGGGAGAAAAAGGGAAGAAGAAAAAAGAAAGAACAAAAAAGAAGAAAGAAAAAAGAAAGAAGAAAAAGACAGAAGAAAAAAGAAGAAAATTAAACTGAAAATGACGGAATAAAAATATATATTTTTTTTTTTAAAGTAGAAAACTGAAATTGAAGAAATCAGATAGATTTTTTTAAATTCCTGTTACTTCAGTACGTAGGCAATTTTATCTCTCCATATATATTTTTTCTTCGCTTCCTGGCTTAAGGCCATATCACTTTGGAACACCAGTTCTATTATGAATACCAAAGTTAAGCAACGTCAAGCAGTGTCTCTACCTCGATGTGTGACCACTTGAGCATACTAGGTGAGGTAAGCATGGAGATGAGTTTGGTTTAATAGACAACTTCTTGGAATTTGAAATCGTAGAGCCAAGTATTAATTCCAGTTAGGTTCGTTATATTTATTTACGTGCAAATAACCTTGGGAAAGGTATGAATTCACATTAGATTCTATTATTCTAACGGTTATTTAGATCGACAGAACGGTTGTGTTTCGCATTATTCTAGGGGCTATTGGGTGGGACTAATTGTGGATCTGAATCCACATCTCTGGCAATTTATAGTGGGAGGGATAATTGATACATAGAATAGCTGGATGCTGCTGTTCAAAAGTTATCTTCTGAACCAGGGTTTGTTTTTTAACCAAATTTTATATATTTATGACGAGGAACACGGTACGATAACTCCAGACGTTCTAGTGAGGAGAAAAAGGCAACTAAGTAATTCTATTGGCTAAAAACTGCATTTCTTTTTCAGCCAATAAAATCCCTAATCTACAGAAACGTTTCAAACTTTTACATTATTTATATCTGCACAATTGTCGTCAGCTAAGTTGTTATTATCACAACGCTTCGGCCGATATACATCCGGCCTTCTTCAGATACTTGTCGATCCAGGCAAACTTCAGGTAATTTTAAACTGATTTGATTCAACTGATCTATGCGACTTATCAGCCTTTTACCGGTTATTTACAACCAGAAAACATACTTACAATGTAAGATGTGTCGCCGACAAAACTAACCTGGCCGTTTGTCTCGAAAAGGACCAACAATCGGTTGTGGACTGGGCCAGGAATTGGCTGGTTAACTTTAACGCCTCAAAAACAAAACTGCTCTCTATTACTCACCAGAGAGAACCATTCCTGTCTCCCATTAGAATGTCTGACGCTCAACTCCACGAGAGCACCTGTTTGAGACTGTTTGGTCTCACGTTGTATACTGACCTGAGATGGAACAAATACATTGTCAATAGCTTCACCCACCGCAAGGAAAGTTGGCTCTTTGTGCCGCGCTAGGAAATTTTTCTCGTCGGAGTCGATCCTTCAAATCTACAAATCAACCATTCAGTCTTGCATGGAGTATTGCTGCCATATATTGTCTGGAGCCCCTTTCTGTTTGTCTCAAGATCCTTGATAAACTCCAGAGACGGATATGCAATGTAATTGGCTCTGATCTTGCATCTCGTCTGCAGCCGTTCTCTCAGAGACGTGCCGTCGCCTCCCACTGTGTTTTTTACAAATACTTTCACGGTAACTGCTCCAATGAGCTGCTTTTGCTGGTTCCAAGACTTCAACTAGGCTGGCATCTCGCTCTCACCCTTTCACTGTCGAAACTGTTAAATGTAGCCGTCTCTTCTACTCCAATAGCTTCATATCTCGCACTTCTCGCCTCTGGAACTCCCTTCCCATTTCTTGTTTCCCTGATAGCTATAATCGCCAACTATTCAAATGTAATGTCAATCGACGTCTCCAGATGTCTTGATCTATCCTCTATCCTTCTCTTCATCCTTTCCTCTATCACTCCTCTTTGCTCTCGCTTCCACTCTCTGTAACCCCTTGCATGCCAGTGGCTTCCCGCCTTGCATTGGGGTGAAACGCTTAAAAAATGTGTTTTGGAGACTATAATGTTTCAGTGATACAGGTATTAAATAATTAACCCGTAACTAGGGTGAGGAGAATAGGCGTATTCATGCCTTTCCCAATTGTATTCGGGCGTACGTAAATATAACGAAACAAACCAGAATTTGAACTCGGCTCTCCAATTAACAATTCCGACACATTATCCATTAGACCAACAGCACATTCAGACTTATATCATATTCCCAAACGATCACCCATCTATGAACTGACCAAGTTCGACGTTGCTGAAATTCGGTGAACATACGGGAAGCCGAATTTCAATCTCTCTGCATTGACAAGCTCCTGACGAGATTTGCAGGGAAACAATGTTCAGAACAATTTAATACAAACAACGAAGATAGGGATAATAGTCCAAATGTAAATAATATAAAGAATGAAATCGTGTCAGCGTAGGAGATTCAGAAGAAGAAAAAAAAAGATCAGAGTATTTACCGGATTTAGTTGATATCTTTCTTAATTCTTCTTGATATGTTTTTGCCAGATTTTTTCATATCTTTTTTTTTTATCGAAAATATTTTCCGTTGATATTCTTCAAAAATTCAAAGGCATTGAGGAAGAAAGAAATTGTTTTACTTAGACTGGGTTTTGCATCGCTGCCTACAGAAGTTTGGCACGAGATGAATTGTTATTTTATCAAGACATGTCAGTCCAAACGCTTGTGATCACGAATTAAAAAAAAATGTAAATTTCCACGTTATTAAATGAATGCGAAATTAAGTTAAAAAAAAAAAGAAAAAAGGGAACATTTAAAATCAACCACAGGCAAATTGAATCAAGGAGATATAAAATAAACAAGTAAAGCTGAAAGGTAGAAACAGGAAAGAAAACTTAATAAATAAAAAAGAATTAAAGAAAAAGATGCCCAAATAAAGAATGTTATTGTTATTGGTCACGGCTTCAGTCACATTCCCATAGTACATTCCCCGTGCCTTTTTCTATAAATACTTTCATGGTAATTGTTATGATGATCTTTCCTCTAGACTTTATGAATTTAAGCGCAGTACTGGATTGGCTGAAAGGTCCAACCATTTTACTTTTGAAATTGCTAGATGTAACCGTAAGTTATATACGAATAGTTTCATCTTCGACATTTGTGGAACTCTCTTCTGGCTTCCTGCTTCCAAGACAATTTTCATCTTCAAAAATGTAAATGTAATGTCAGTAGTTTTCTTCTGTCTTCTTAATTCTTTTTCTTTTATTGTTCTCTGTTCTTGATAGTGTTTTTGTCTCGTATTCTCTAACAGTCAATAACATCTTGCGTATTAGTGGCTTTATGGCCTTGCTTATGGGAAAATGATTAAAACAAAAGAAAGAGGAAACATAAGATTGGCTGAGTGAAAAACAAAAAAAAACAACAAAAACAAAAATAGATATACTATTGCGCTGCTTATAAGACACTATGATGCATTAGAAGCCTAACTCAATTTTGAATGAAGAAACCGGAGAAAAAGGTTTTTCCTAGTAATTCATAGACCTCCCCATTATCCCAAATTTTCCCCATTAAAAAGCATATTTCTACCTGAAAACATGACAAATCATAACCAATTCATCACAATCTGATAAGAATTATCAAATGGAAGTTAACAATTTAGAATATAATAATTCAATGAGAGAGAGAGAGAGAGAGAGAGAGAGAGAGAGAGAGAGAGCATAATCTCACTGAAACCTAATCTTATTGCTGTTTGAAATCCTCACAAATAAAAAAATGTCTTATTTATTTTGTATTTTGAATAATCATCATTTGCATATTTTCTCTTTTAATTTTTACATTTTTATTGCAATAAAAAATGTTGCATTTCGAATAATTATCATTTAGTATAATTGACCTTTCGATTAATTTTCATTCATTTTGCTATTCAAAGAAATGTTTTTCGAATTAGTGTTTTCGGACAATTTTTTCGAACAATTTTGTCGATACGTAAATACTTGTGTTTTCCTAAACTCATCACACAGCTTTGTCCAAAGGGAGTTGTGCAACTAAACAAAATTGTTTTATTTTCTCTTGTTTATATCTTAACGATTATGTGTGATGTGAATGGTACTCTAGATATTTCATTGTTGCTTGACATTTAGACTTATTGTCCAAGTTCCTGTGTACGATTTAAATAGCTGTTTTTACAATGTGTACGAATTACTTTTTTTATTTAACTTTGATGTATTCTACTCATCCAAAGAATCCCAGTTTTACAGGCGAAATTGGAATCGCTTCGGTAGATCAAAAGAAGCAAAATACACAGGAAAGATAAAAAAAAGGTGAAATTTGTGCCCGTTTTGCCATTTCCAGAAGTTTATTTTAAATCCACTTCCTGCTGTTATTTTCGATAAACTATTTTATCCCATATTTGAAAGCAGCTTATTTGCCTTTTTTTTCCTTATTATCATAAAACCGTTTTTTTATTGTCATAGTTAAGAACGAGTTAATATTGAAGTTATAAGAAACGCATAAATACAAATTTGGAATAAGTGTAGAAAAAGCAGACCAAATTATAAAAACAAAAACAAAAGAACAATAATAAACTAAATGCATTGAGTAGAGTTTCATCCGTTACTCGTCAACAGATTTCGTGTAATAACAATTCAATGCAATTTAAAATATAATAGATAGAGATACGTTCACCTATCGATCGGTTAACACTCCTCCCCATGCTTTTGCAAGGTTGTAGAGATTTATCTCATGTTTCCTTTTAGGGTTGCTATAAAGGTTCCTTGTGACATATATTCCAACTCTATACTATTAACGTCTCGGCAAGAAGATTGAAATGTTATTTACTATCTATATTTTACGCAATAGGAGAAACATAGTATCCGGTTCACACTCCTCCCCTGTCTTTTTTCCTACTTCGATTTGGGTTTCCGGTTACTTCTAATGTCTATTAACTGTATATTTCTAACGACTCCACCTGAACACTGGAAATTTGTTTACTAGTAGATAGGTTTGCCTATCGCTCGGTTCAGACGCTTCATCGTACTTTTGAACAGTTATAGAATTTTATTCCCTGTTTAGGATTGGCTTTCTTGTTCCATCTAGTTTCTACTTCAACATATACTTCTAAAATCTCCGCCTGTATTTTTATTTACTTATTTTTTCTTCTCAATAGGAGTAGATAGGTTTGTCTCTTGTTCAATTCACACGCC